GAGGGTCCCATTTTTTGTATGCATATAATCATATTATAGTTCTACGTATACAAAAAAATTTAGAACAAACCAATCACACTTCTAAACTTCAAAAAGTGATTAGTATTTATATTTTAGGAATTTATGTTTCTGACAATAGATATATATATATATATATATATTAATAACCGACTGCAGACATAAAGAGAATGAATACATACGTTGTTTTACATAAATACTGCATTTGCATAATAAGTACATTGCTGGCTATTGCAACTGGTAACAACAACAACGAAAGCATTTAGGGAAATAAATATTTATTTTAAATATAGATAAAAGGAGGATTAAACGATTAAAATTTGAAAGGATTTTGAAGTATAGAAATTCCAAAAAGCGAGAGAAAAGAGATTCTGAGAGAATCGAACTCTGAGAATAACAGTTGTTGTTATACACTGGACATGGAATAGAATATATTTTAATGGCAGTTGCGGGTATTAATATCCATGCGGCTTCGTTTGTATCCCAGAGTTCATTTACCGTGTAGTATGGTGGATGCTGTCGTGCTGTGTAATCACTGACGAGAAGCTTTCACTTTGTGAACGTTCCTATTAATCATGACTCGAACGCTAGTTCACATCTCCAACCGTCCATGGTATCCGTCCATGGAACTCCAACCGTCCATGGAAACTTAGGAGAACAGCAGGTATAGCAACATTCAATTTGCCATGTCTCTGCTAAAAGGTGAAGGCATATTGGCCTCGAACATTACAATCTTGAAAATGTTGCAAACTATGGATTTGTGCATATCTTCTTAATAACTACCTCGGATGAATTCGACGAAACTGACAGTTTATTGAAATAAACATTAGCTCATTCAACAAGGTAACTAGCTAAACTTAAGAACAAAAAGCCGAGGTAAATAAGGTTTTTCTTAGTATGCGAGAAAAGGCGCAAATCACCAAAAAACACTCAGTGAAGTCGTAATCACAGAGCGAGAGGCTCAAAACTATCGCAGAAATTCAAACTGAATTAACTGATTTTCTGCTGCAAAGCAGGCGAAATTCATAGGTTATCGAAGTACTTCTTGACAGTTTGGTTTAAAAAAAAAGTCGGTTTTTAAAAAAAATGCGTTTTCGAAAAATTTTCAAAAATTCCCCATATTCGCGCCAAATTTTCGAGGAAAATAACGGATCAATAATTTGCTTCAAGCAAAAAAATACATGAACTAAATCAATGAATAAATAAATACGTAATCTTGGAACTATACATAATAATTGAAATGAAATCAAATAGACATAACATTTTGCAAAAGGGTACAACAGTATAACAGCATGTGGGTGATACGAAACAGACTATCGCATAAATGGCTGTAAATATGAACAAATTAAATCATTGTAAAATTTATTATGTATATATATATATAGTATAATGCTTAGTTTGCTTCTCATTCAGTAAAATAAAATTTAGTATCGGTTGTCTAGTGTTCTGTCTTTTTTTTTTTTTTTCAGATTATAAATAACTGTATTGCAAAATGCAGTTTATAAGTATTAAATTTTAAACAATTGAAATAATATTAAGTTAGTACAAAGCTAGTTAAACACTGAAGGAAATCCAAACACCTAGTTAATATATTCTAAGAGTTGAAACACTGTAATAGTATTCATTTGGATAAGGTTATTATAAATGATAAAACTTAACATTACTGAATTTGAGTTTTAATACGGGAATAAAATCTTTACTTTAATTACAGCGTATAACTTAAAATGTGGTTTCTTTTAGTTCTCACGTTTCGTAAAAGCCAAATAAACAATCATTCAATGCAATTACCAATCATATCTTTATTAAGGAAAATTAACAAACGGCAAAGCTATTTTGACATGATATGTAAATTCAATATGAATAAATGAATGAACGGCAAGCAATCAAAATAAAGCAGAAACAACAAAAAACACAGATTTAAGGAAAACAACGTTGCCTATCATGAAATAAGACTTTAATCACTTTCAAAACCATAAAAATCCTTTTCAGTATCATCATCGAAAACGAGAATATCGTCATCGCTAGTATCACCTTCTTCGAATAATGCGTCGTCTTCTGTTCCGTCAAGAGTATTACTGATTCCTCACTTTGTTGCATCAGGTTCTTCTATTTACAATAAAATTAATGTAAAATTCCTTACCTGCTGCATCTTCAGTGTTCACGACGCCAGGCTTCTAATAATCACGTTTTCAGTAAGAGTTTCTATTACTGCTAACAAGCCATCTGTCTTTTAATTATTTATTGAAATAAAAAAAATCTAATAACTCTATTTACAGGTAGGTGATAATTATTTTAAGACAGTACATTTTTAGTTCTGAGTCTTTACGCTCCTCAGAGAGGTTCCAATCTCCACTGGTTCTCGGAACTTAATTACAGCAAAAGTAAAGGAAGAGATGCCCGTGGCATAAACCTAGTGGCAAGAATGTGACACACTTCTTAAAAGACTTAACAATTACTTCAGCCTTTACGTCCTCCCAAGATCTTTTTACAAGTACGCCAAGTACGTATCATTTTTTCGGTAGGTGGTGGACCGAAATGCCTTGCTGCTGCTCTGTTTCCATGAACTTTGGCGTAGTTTAACACTCCTAATTTATAGTGAATTGTATAGTTTAATCTTCTGTTTCTTGTAGTCATATTTTACAGGGTATTTTTTTAAAACAAATAGTTTTAAGCACCGATACCGACACGTTTATACAGAGTAGCACCGATACCGACACGTGTGTCGGCTGAGTCAAAGAAAGTCTATGTAAAGAAGGAAAGGCTCCATAGACGTAATGTGACCATCGAACCTGTTCGAACTTCGACATCTGCTTCGAGCTTTGGCGCTTTTTGGCCACAGATATTTCACGCATGCGCAAAATAATTATGGCCAGATGTAGAAAACGTTATGTGTGTCTATACCTTTATCCGGGCTAAAAATAGCATTCAGTATTGAAAGTTAACCTGTGTCCTTCACGTATAAGACGCAGGTAACTTTTTTGAGACCAAATTTAGGACAAAAAGTGCGTCTTATATGCCGTCAAATACGGTACATCTACTTCAAAATGAATTGGCTGTTATTTAATGTATTTTCTTCCTCCTTTCAGCGTGTTTTCTTGGTGTAACGGTAGCACACTCGGCGCGTATTCGAGAGTTAAAGTTTCGAGTCCCGGCGAGAGTATGGCTCATTTTCACGTCTCCTGTTTCAAACAAAACTTAATGACTCCATAATTACATCATTCTCAGAAATTATTCAAGCAATTAATTTTAAGATTTAATAAGCAACCTAGATAAACTAATTAAAATGAAATAATATTCTTCTGTGAATTTGCATTATCTATCTCTTTTTACAAATGGGTTATAAAATTTATTGTATTTCTTCGCTTATTTAACCCCTATTATTTCAGTGCAAGGTTCTGATAATTAAAAAAAATATTCGTGTGATTTTCCCCTTTTTCAATGCATCCAGAGAACTAACGAACTTAAATTTTAAAATTATTTCGTACAGGTAATAATTGTTTACATCTTATTAACGAATTCTCACAAACAACCTGCCAAACCTTTATTACCTGTTGAACTTTATGCCGGTCTACTACAAAAACAGACTAATCACAGCAAAGAAAACACGAACTGACATTCAGTCTTCGGTATCGCTGAGTCAGCTGCATATTTACCTTAACTAATTATTTATGGGTGATTTGAGGCTAAAAGAATAGCACAGACAACAATAAGAATGGGCCGAGTTTAACATAAAGAAAAATAGAATTGAAAATACTTCATTATTAGTCCAAAGGGGCAATTTGCCCAGAAGGACTATTAATTTCGTTTCGGCATTTTGCGTTGGTTCACGATAAATGCCGGTTCATTTTTCAAATTGTTGCCACCAAATGTTAGATACTTGTATTATATTTAAAGAAATTAAATAATGTTGAATTTGCATAAATGTATGTATGTTTCTTCGCATTGTGATAAAACAACGGTACCTAGAGCCATCAAATTTTGAATAACGTACATTTCCACCCGAATATGGGAATCTGGAAACCCAAATGTGGAACTTGGAATTTGTTTTATTATTTATTTCACACTTCATGAAACTTTAACGAATTCTTGATTAACAAACTCAACGATTTAAAACAAGCAATGGCAAAACTGTATGTTAAAGAAAACATTTTTATTTGAAGCATGGGAGAGTGTGTATCGGAAGTTCTAAAGATTATATGTTCATTTAAAAATTATTTTGCGATATTGCTATTGAACTGAATTTTATAGTTTAAGGGCGAAGAACATGATATTTAATAAATAAAGGTAACACACAAAACTCCCACCAGCGGCCGAGCGGTAAAGTCGCTGAACACTGGCAGTTCGGTCCGAGGTTCGAATCCCGCGAACGGGCTGACTGCATGGGCGTTTTCGTGGTTTTCCCCCACGTGTAACGTGTATACGAGCCAGTTTCCCTTAGAAAGTCCTCCACGAAGGCATCCCTCCCCTTAGGCAGATAGCCCTAGTGTGCTTTGCCATAATTAAATAAACCAAGTAATACACAAAACGTTAAATAGCGCCCCTTTGGGCGTAATGTAAAATCTGAAAGCTTTCAGGTTTTCATATTTTCTTATTATACTTTTTTGTGTATTATAATGTTATTATGTATTCACTGGAATGTAGGTTTGTTTTAAGGAAATAATATTGTGATAGTTACGTGTAATTTGTAACCGCAACTACTTTTCATTTGTTATATTCTTACTGCAACCTCTTTCTTGGGTAATTAATTATTCTTATAATAGCCCCCCTCCTTAGTTTTCAAACGATAGAACAAGTAAAAAAAGGGGGAATATCCTATGATATACTGTATACTTCTCTGAATTTAAAATTTCTAAATTTAGCTGTGGATGTTGGCATCGTTTACCTAATTTGTACTTAAACATTTATCATGTGATATACGTGCAGTTCATGTCATTCTCTCGAGATTGCGTTTTAAGAGCAAACTCTTATTTTAAATCAGTTTGAAAAAACGATACTCATATTTTGGCATATTAATTATTTATCAAAATCCTGAAGTAAGCATTTTTATCCTTTTGTTCTTTAATCCCAAACAGCAAAATGCATATTATTATATAAATATATCATGAAAATATATGCAGTTATTTGAATGTTTCATTTAAATTTTTTAATATTAAATAAAATGTTTGGTTACGAAATATGTTCCGCAATTTGTGTAAATCTGGGTGTTATCTAAAAATTTGTAAAGTTGCAATCTTGAAGCAGCGAAACAATGCATAAATGCTTGAAATGCTACAATGTAAGTTATTGTGAACTTGAGGTTTCCTCAACAGATGTTAAAAATAATATTTATATTTCAAAACCGAACCGTTATTTCTATAAGTTTTTATTAGTATTTGATTGCTTAAACTATATAAGTTGGAACAAATTAAATACTTTGCAGAAACGAAATTTTAACAATCTTACGTATAGCTTTTTTTTTAAGTGTGTAGTACCTTTTAAATGTTTGTAGTATCACTTAATATTTTATTAGGATACAATGCAGCAAAATCTAAGCCATAAGACTTAATATTTAAGCGCGCTTAATTTGCTATTTACGAGAAACATTTATCCAGTTAAGTATTTTTATACCATTTTCTACAGTAAATTGTTGACAATATTTCCTTACTCGAATAATTTGATCTCCAGGTGATAATTCGTGGGTGTTTTTTAAATAAATAAAACCTTCTGCGAAACATTTCCAAGCAAATTCCTTTTCAGAAGTATTTAATAAATGTCAAAATTTCTAAAATGTAATTTTAAGGAGAATCTTGATTGCTGTAGAGATGTTTTAATAGAACATTCCAGTTTAATCTTTAAATAGCATTAAAGGAAACTGTTTTCCATAATGAATTAAAATAAAAATATTTTGGCTTTGTCACGTTTTATATGCCTTTTGCATTTGAAATGAGCATTTTTATATGTGTTTTAACTCTTCAATTAGCTTTAATTTTTGAATTATTCATAACGATGATACTTTTCATTCGAGTTTAATTTTAGAAATCTGAACGCTGGCTACGTTTTCTTTAAGCATTATAATTTCATGCATTTATTATATTCTACTTCAAATTATAGTAATATATAATATACTAAGTGATGCATATAAATTTGGGTACTTTTCCATTATACACCTGCCATTCATTTTGGCGAATTTTTTAATGTAAACTCCTTCTAGTTAGAAGAATAATTTGCAGACACACGTACGTACACAACGATAGTACAGATGGCGCTGCCATTAGACATAGGAGTTGCTTCTTTTTTACAAGTTCAAAAAGATACGAAACGGATAAATATCTAATTTTTGACAGATGGTTTTCAAGAATAATATTTTCTGAAATATTTAACTTGGAAAGGCTAAGTAAGGCAAGAAAAATAATTTGAAAAGAGAAAACAGAAACGTATTAACTCTTCGCTAACCTGTATCCTCAAAATACCGAGCCACTTGAAATACTTTTCCCCTTTCACAGCAAGTTCCTCCCCTCCCCGCACATTAACGCAGAAAATGTGTGAAGATTTTGAATGACATCCTTTGTACATTCTAACAAAGATTCCATTATCCTTTGACCCCGTTATTTATAAAACTATTCTGAAGGTCAGACCAACAAGCCTTTCTGGCTTTGTTTTGATCACGACTGAGATTTTGTTTATTTTCGTTATTTTTATAGGAAGGAATAAATTGATTAAAAATAAATATAATCCTTAAATTTTTAAACTGCACTTTTATTGCTGTTTAAAGCTTAAAAGCACGTTGTACCACAAAAAAATCAACAACGAAATGTCACAGCAACCATAAAGATAAGAAACCTCTTAGGACAAGCTGTCTGCAGTAAACTGATACAATGCATTTGGGGAAACTGAACCTGCTACTGCATATCTCAGGAAGAGGGAAGAAAACAAGATTACAATCTCGGCTGTTTTCGGACGGTTCTGGTTGTTTCAATGTAGGGCCGTGTGGGGCGGCTTTGTTGTGAAAGAGATCATTTCTGAGGCTATATTATGTAGATTCGGTACTTTTCCATTTCGCCGGCGCAAATCTCTCCAAGCAGACTTTATTGGCGACAACACATAGCATACACATATAACATGTTAACAAATGTTGGTTCTAAGAATCTTTTATTTTGAGGGCATAAACATTTCAATATCGTTTAAATTTTATAAAAAGCCAATAAATTTGTAAAAAGTCATTAATTTAAGAATTTATTATGCTTTCATGGTACAACATCCTGATTCACGTGACCCCAAGTGATCTCATCTCACGTAAACTACGTTACAAAATTCTAATTCTCTCAGTGATTATCTACATTTATTTATGTTAAATCTTAGTTTGGAATACAAGTTTAAATGCAAGAATTATTTCAATTCGTACGAATAGCTTACTCAGAAATTATATAAAACCGCAGAGCTTTACTTCGCTAGTGCATTCTTATTAGATTTGATGAATTTAACCCTCGACTTTGTTTTTTCTATATTTTTGCCTTCGGGTGAGCGGTGTGATTGCACCCTAATCGACGTAATTAGCTCGAATGGCCTTAGGCCATAAAATTGAACTCTCTAGTAAAAATTCTATGTAATTGTATGCTAGTAGTGAAAGAAAAATTAGTTTTATAAGAAATGGCTGCGACTTGTTTTGAAATGAGGCGTAAAAGGTTACCAGCGAGGATATTCCGTTTGGCATCAGTTGTACCATTATTGACGACTTTATCGCCTGCGCCGGCAAAACGGAAAAGTACCAATCTCGGCAGTTTTCGGGCGGTTCCGGTTGTTTAAATGTAGGGCCGTGTGGGGCGGCTTTGTTGTGAAAGAGATCATTTCTGAAGCTATATTATGTAGATTCATTTACACTTTAATTTACCCAATAGAGAGCAATTAAAATGCAAAATTTCTTTTTTTTTCCAGTTAGAACTAGCTAGAAAGTTGGCTAGCTACTTTGTTTAGAGGCATGAAGTTTCCAAAAGTCTCTCTGAAGTTAATTGATAAATTACCTCATTTTACAAAAAAATAACTGTCTTCTTAAAAACTTACATCTCAACACAAAGCAGGAAACTCTGAGATAAAATAGAACCGTAAACGAAGTTTCATTTGAATTTCTTATACATACTGTAATACTTCTTTGTCGATATGAAGCAACTCCAATGATGGAACACAGCAATAACGTTTATTTAACACTCAAAAATGGCGACATACAAACAAGAAGAGAAAACATATTCTAACATTTAAAAATAAATTACATTTTTCGTGCGAGAGTCGACGTGTCACTCGAGTCTGGTTTCAATATTGCCATACACAATACCTTAATGTTCATCTATTTAAATTGTTTAAAAACTACAAAATTTAATATTATTTAAAGCTGTTACAACTCTCCCCCAACGGAGAGACATTTTCCGAAGGGAAAATTTCAGTAAAATTCGAAAATTTATGAGCTTCGGCCTTGCTCAGTTATTTTAAAGAGGAAAAGGTAATTTCTCTCATAAGTTCCAAACTTTCAGACCAAAATTTTAAGCTTTGACCAAATAATTTTACATCAGGTTTAAACAGGAAGAAAATAGACAGTATTCAAATTATAATTTAAATAGGAAGAAAATAGAGAGTATTCAAATTAGTCTTCCTTTTTTTTTTTTTTTTTTTTTTTTTTTTCTCTTGATGGCGCCTAGATCGCTCTTCCATGTTGGACTCAGTTCATCGGCTATAATTCACAGCAAAGCCTTTCCTCAGTTCATCTGTGCCTTTCGAATAATATTCAATTGCCATTTGCTTTCAGACAATTGTTTTCTTCGTCATATTATTAGCAGCCTTTGATATTAAATCGAAAGCCGAAAGATGATGATAACGTTGCATTGCAAAATGATTCTCAGTATTAATTTCTTTATCGTTTTTCAAATTTTCGTGAAAATCTTCCACGTTTAATTCCGGTGATTTAACTTCTTCAAAGATATCTTTGGATGCTTTATTTTCTTCCTTCATCGGTCCAAGATCTTCTCTTCAGCTATTTTTCTTTTCCTTTGAGCTCTACTAGAGACGGCATTAAAATGGTATCACTAAGTTTACGTTCAAGTGATAAACTAATAAAATAAGACAGTTCAGTGTTAACAGGAAGTAATAACCTAATGTCACTAACATTATGTTCAGTAATGAACTAATAAAATAAGACAATTCAATATCAACAGGAAGTTACGTTCAGTGATGAACTAATAAAATAAGGCAATTCAATATCAACAGGAAGTTACATTCAGTGATGAACTAATAAAATAAGGCAATTTAATACCAACAGGAAGTAATGCTCTGGTTTCACTAATAATACGTTCAGTGATGAACTAATAAAACAAGACAATTCAATATCAACAGGAAGTTACGTTCAGTGATGAACTAATAAAATAAGGCAATTTAATATCAACAGGAAGTAATGATCTGGTTTCACTAATATTACGTTCAGTGATGAACTAATAAAATAAGAAAATCAATATCAACAGGAAGTAATAACCTGGTATCACTAATATTCTGTTCAGTGATGAACTATTAAAATAAAAATACGCACGATTATTCGATCTCGGTCGGTGCCTCCAAAATAATTAAGACTGTAATACTTCTTTGTCGATATGAAGCAACTCCAATGATGGAACACAGCAATAACGTTTATTTAACACTCAAAAATGGCGACATACAAACAAGAAGAGAAAACATATTCTAACATTTAAAAATAAATTACATTTTTCGTGTGAGAGTCGCACGTGGCACTCGAGTCTGGTTTCAAATATTGCCATACACAAATACCTTAATGTTCATCTATTTAAATTGTTTAAACTACAAAATTTTAATATTATTTAAAGCTGTTACAATACGTTACGGTCAGTTACAATCATACTAATGCTTTCAAAATATTATAGAATAATTAATAGGGTACTTCCTTGTTAGAAGAGTCACCATTCTTATTTGCCAAAGTTGGTAAACTTTATTAGCCCACTCTGTAAATGTACATTTCAAGTGCTGCCGAATGCTTATACGATGACAACTTCAACAAGAAAATGTTAGTAAGGGTAATAAGGCTGGCTGTCAGCTGGGACTTCAATGCAGAATATCATACCATTTGATCGAAATGATTCGTAACACTGCTTTTAGGAATTTTGAGAAAACTCTCTGGAAATTCTAAGAATAACTAGTACAGCTCTGTGACAATATTATAAACCACTCTGAGAATACTGTAAATGCTCAAGAGCACCACATCTAGCAAAGGCGGTCATTTTACCGCAAACTGCCTATAAATATACATTTATCTATGTAAATTTTGACTGCTTTTAAATTTAGGTTTATTTATGTGAATTTAGAATGCGTGTAAATTGAGATAATTGTAGGGCTTTAAGTCGCCATTGAAGTACAATTTTTGATTAATTCATCGATTACGCGGTTGCAGTTTAGATAAGGGTGCCTCTTTTCTTTGACGCCAAATATAGATGCTGTGTACACATACACATATTCGCACATACATACATACCCACATGCATGGATTCATACATTTCTGAATCCGGTCCCGATAACAGAAGATGGCTGAAATTTGCTACTGATAACGCTAGCTATGAATTGATAAATATTTGATATTTACGATGAATTAAAATTCGTAACTAATGTACTTTTACCTGTTTCGTAACGAGAATATGGAAATCATAAATTTGTACGACCTACTGAAAAAAAAACAGTATACAACCACTATATATTTCCTATAAAACAAGACATTACTTTCGGAAACATCAAAGAGAGCTATATTTTGCCTATCGCTTTTCCTAGAAATATGTCATTTGCTAAATCCCGAAAAGGAGAGCAGCATATAACATTCTTAATTCTGTTTACGAATATGCATCACCTTTGGGTATCGAATAGTATCTGATACATGTGTGCAGAAAATATTAAAGATACTCAAGTCAAAGCATTGCTTAAGGCTATGATATTCGATGAAATGTTCGAGAAACGTGGGATTTCTCTTCTGCGTGTTTGGTCGACGGAACAGCTGTTTGACATTCAGATGTCGTTCAAGTTATAATGCACAGGCAGAAGTTTGGAAATTCATAGATCGCAAAGTGAATGCTAATATTCTAAATATGGTGTTTCAAAAGTGATGATCGTAGTTGTATCTTTTAAAATGTTAACGGTTACGCTTTTCCTTCCAAATGCAAAGCTTCTTTAAATAACATTTTTCATTCTAATGCTTGTGTGTGATTGACATTTAAACCCGAATATAAGACACATCTTAATATGCAAATAACAACAAACTTTTAAATGCGTTTAATAAGGAAGAAACTTGTCCGTGAGACAATTCGAATATTTAAACTAGATGCGTTAAATATTAACTAAAATGTCATTAAATAATTACCATATTATGCTATTAAGCTTAGCAATTACTTTAAATGAAATATTTTTTCAGATATTCAATAATGAACACTCGTTTGAAATATGAACATCTTTCTTTAGAATTTTAGCCGAAATATGCCTGGTTTTGTGCCGGATCACAATCTTTGGAAGGAGATTTCACCGAAACTTGAGAGATATCGTCACAAACATCGAGAAATAATGAAAGATTATCAACCGGAACAAGAGCAGTTTATTAGGTTTTTCTAATTTCCATTCCTTTAAAATACCTTTTTGGTTTTTACGCATTACAACTTTTTATTTCTAAAATGTTCGTAAGAGCTGTTTGGCTCCATGTGAAGGGTGATTACATCCATGTTGTCACGAATGGGTTTTATCCATTAATTTACGAACCAAATAACTGTCTAATTTAATTTTTTTCTTAAGACGAAAGTCCGAAGTTATGCCCTGAAAAACTGGGATTTTTTGCTTTCTATTTTCGTAAGCGCTTTAATTTCGCAGTCTAATCTGATGCTTCCTTCACTGTCTCGTTCGCGGAAGAATTTAATGAATCAAACAACGTTATACACGATGGCATCTCTCCTCTTAGACAAATTGCCCTAGTATGGTTTAGCGTAATCTAAAAAACCGTATAGTTACAAGTAGCCATTAGATTTCGATCATCGGATTTGCAACTGTAAAGGAGTGAGCTCCGACGGGTGAATTGTTCATTTTACAGTTAATCAGCGAGAACAAATTAAAGTTATGAATATATAATCTTAAGTAGTAAGTGAGAAATTATAAAATATGGAGGCATTAACAAATTCCAAGAGGAATAAAATTTAATATAAAATCGTAGAAATAATCACGAATGTGGACAATAAGAATTTAAATGGAGCCGTTTCGAAATTACCGCATATTATTGAATAGAATATAAAGGGGTACAAAAAATGTGGAAGTTTGATAAACAGTACTTAATGTGCATGACTATTTGAACAACCCATGCCAGTAAAAACTCACAGTTGTTTAATTTGCTTCTTCTTAGGATTTATAAAGCACCTTGTAGCAATATGTTTTTACTGCAAATTTTGAATATATTTGCCAACGTGTTTCCTGAAATCCTTTCTCTATGTACTGAAGCACGTACACTTATAAATACTGTACTTAACTGCATACAGAATTATTTAAGTTGCATACAGTAAGTTTCTATTGTGAAAAGAGAATTTTCGTACTGTTTCCACTGTATTCTTTTGCAGAATACCATTATATTCTATACTCTATACTACTATATATATCTACTATATTCTATATTCCTTACTTTTGTATTGTTTCTACTATATTCTGTTGGATTACTTATATTTGTTTCTGATTGTTACTTAATTGCAAAAATGCAAAACCTAATGAATCCAAATGAAAAAAATAGGCACTACAAGAACAGAACTGTAGGAATAAATATGATGAAATACACTAGTGGACAATCGTTAAGGACAGACTACAAACGGCTACATAGTGTGTAAAAAAGAAAGTTTGATTGAATGCCAAGTGAAATCAAATAATGTCAGAATTGTTAAATCGCTTAAGTTCACGCCGGGAAATAATGTTATGAATCTTACTTCACGGCACCAATGTTATATCTTAAATTCATATAAAATGTTAAATATGAAACTACTTGCCGTAAAAGGCAGTAATCGTATAGTGAAACGTGTACAGCATTTTTGCGTTGTGAAAAAAATGCATTCCGGGACCGCGCCGTGAGAGGATCGAAAACATAAAACATATACAAGATATAAAGGAAAAGTTCATATTAAATATATAAAGAAAACATACTGTAAGAGGTTCCAGATTAAATATCAGTTTATTCAATTACAACACAATAAGAAAAAAATCTTAACCTCATCTGAGAGTCTGTTCATTTAAATTCATAAAAAAACTTAAGGTTTGTCTGGTGATTTAAAAGAAAGGAAAGGGAAACAATTTAAGGCCTGAGAGTTAAATTTTAGATTTGACGTTGTTTTTTTCTGCTAAGGACGTTTTTGAAAAGCTTGCCTAAAGTTCAAACACACCAAAAAAATAAAAACTTATCTGAAGGGACATCTTGAAGCGGAGGACTCTTATCTTATCCCGCGTTGATGTCGGCCGGGCTCATCTTAACACTGGTTCTAAAAATGTAGACCCACTTCACTACTGTAGAACAGAAACAGGAGCACTGCTGCCCAGGACGGCTATCCGCTTGGTCCTGAAAGTCCTATGTCAACACGCAGGTAACTCGTTCAAATTTCGCCGGTCAGAAACGTTGTTGCTAGGAAATTACGGCTCGCCTGTTCTTACTCATCCCAAGAGCAAGCTTCACGGGTAACGTCCCAAGTAAGTTCCAGAGTAATCCACAAGTCCAGCCAACCAGTAAGTGCGCGAGTCGAAAAGTAAAGTGTGTAAGAGAGTCTCGCCTCTTAACCAAAAACGCGGCCGGGGAGCATATTTGCCGCTCCCCGCCGGAAAACACCTCTCGGAGTCACTTACATTTTGTCCAGCAAGCCCAAAAATCAGCGAGTCAGTCCGAGAGTCAGCCAAAAGTAAGTGTGTATCCAACTCAAATTTCCTTCTTGTCCTTCACCAAACGGTCTCCCACTATGGCTTCACTTATCGCCCCCTTAATTATGGCAAAATCTTCGTTTTCAACTCCAGAATGCGGAAATAAGGGTGATCGCGCATGCGCGCCCTTCTTCACTTAGCCAACAACCGGACCCTCAATCGCCAAAACCTGAATGACTTACATTGAAAGACAACCTTTGACCATTCCGTCACGTACTTTCCTCTCTTAAGGTCAACTAACAATGAAAATTCTTTCTCGAACATTCTAAAGCGCGCGAAATCATGACTTGGCGAAAATTGCCTCCCTTTCCCTGCTTCTTTCACAATGAATAAAAGTTTGTACAAGATTTACAAATAGATGAAAATAAATAATACTCTTTTAAACTAAATAATATTCCCAGAAGCATCTGTCTTTCCCCAAAAATTAAAGCCTTAAATTAAATAATTCAGAATCAAAAATAAAATTTAAATTTCCATAAATCATAAAATCATTCACATAGTTTTTAAAACGCTATCAGATAATTTCTCTACATAACAGAATAACTAAGACATAACAATAAAGATAATTTATTGTACTCTGAAATTCAAAAGGCTTTGAAAACTGTTCAGGCGATAAAATTGTGATTTTATGCTGAATACGTTAAGAGTGGAAAAAAGTGCCGTTACCTTCGCAGGCATTCTGGTGTAAGATGTCAGGGCGGAATGCAGCCACCTTGGAAGGCAATGAAAGATTCCACACGTCGTTTCATTTTTTTCACAACATTATTCAGCAGCTCTTTGGGTAATTTATTCTATTACTCTGTGAGTACACGGATGAGGGTGTCCTAGTTTGTTGGAGATCATTGTCGACCAGCAAAGCTCCTCCCCAAAGCATCCCAAACATTTTCAATAGGTTTAAGATTTGGAAAACGGGCTGATTAATCAAGACGTTGAATATCCTCGCTCTTTAGACACTCCTGGATATTGAACGTTCGATGACATGTTGGATTGTCTTCCATGAAAGCAGCGTTATCACCTACAGCATCAAGGAACATGCGAACATGAGGTAACAGAACATCATTAATGTACTGTTGGCGAATCACAGTCCCAGCTGGAAGCATATAGAGCGATGTACGGCCGCTAATCCTGATCCCACCCCATACGATGACACTACATATAGGATAACGGTGCCTTTCCTGTATATTTGTATGACTATATGCATTATCACTTTCACGCCGCATCAGTTGTCGTATATAATCAGATGACAGGCGAACCTACTTTCACCTGAAAAGAGTACACAAGCCCAGTGTCTCCTGTCCGTTTGCGATGCTGACGACACCATTGCAGACGAGCGGAAAGATGACGTCTAGACAATGGAATATATACAGCAAAACTGCGGCGGATAGTTATCCTTGATGCACACGTCTGGCTACAGTGTTTTGGGAAATTCGATTGCCAGGAGCAATAAGTAACTGATCTGCTATCTGAGTAACTGTGCTGCTCCTTTTTGTCGATAGCACTATGTACCTATCTTTGCAGGCGTACTGCGAACATCACCTCCCCCGTGACGTTGGCTGTATATTCCATTGGTTTGAAAAGATTTCCAAAACTTGAAACAGCACTGTGGCTGACGTCGAATTCCCTAGGAATATCTATTATTTTTTACTCTTCTTCAATCTTTCAAATAACACGACTATGCGTAAAATCATCGAAGAGATCTGGAAGATATACCGAAAATTGCATGTTCATCAATTCATTCTTTCTCGTAAATTTTGCTTTTGAACGCGAAAGGTCAATACTCTTGAAATCCTTATCTCTATCAGCGCTATCACGGGAGGAACAACTTCGACAATCCAAAATTTGCATACGCAAAAGACTTCTTACCGAATCCCGCACTAATTTCCACATTTTCCTGCCTTCCTTTTTGTGGTTGCTACCGTTGCTACTCTCATTCGTCCTTAGCTATTGTCCACCAGTGAACTAGAGATGTAAAGATTAATTTATAAGCAATTTATGTACCATTTACAAAAATTCATGTACGGATAAAATTTTTATGCTTAAATTTTCTACAATTTTAGGATGCCAAGGAAAGGCGACGCCAAAAACTTAAAAACAAAAGGCAGAGAACAGGATTGTAAACCGGATAAAAAAGGTGAAAAAGTAGAAAAATTTGCAACTCAGCAAGGGTATCAAAAGCCAGGATATTGCCGCTTGTGTGAACTAGAATCCCAAAATGAACGTCAAAGATGTCAAGACTGCTGTTGTGCCATAACGTACCACTGCTTCAGGTGTTGTGCTTGTGGTATTGAATCTATGAGTCCACGGGAGCTATTCTTTGAGCTGGCACCTAGAATTGTTAAATATGAAGGGTCAGAAGAAAAGACCTGGAAGAATCCTCAAAGGATATATACTTAGAGATAGATATGATGCATATCACACGGCTCTAATTTTAAATAAGCAACGTTTGGCAAAATTTGTCATTGAAATTATAAAATAATATTTAACTCAATAAATTATGCAATTATCATTATAGCTAATTGTTTTGTATTTCCACTCCTTTGCCACAACAGCGGGCACTATTTTGTCTTTTTTCGACATTGACCTCTCCTAAGGCTGTAAGTGGTGGATTATTGAGGCACTTAACAGATGGTCACCGTTACCTCCTCTGAAGGGACGGACAGTTTTAACAATGCCTTCTGCAGGATTCAAACTCGGGCCCTTCGGTATTACAGTCGGCCACCATCTGGGTAGCTACCTATCAATATTACATCAGTAATATATCGCAATGATTTAGTGCTAGAAATGCAAAACTGGTTTTAAATACTCTTCAGTTTCAGTGTCATTAACTTCAACATTTCAACAAAATAATTTCCCATTGGTGGACACTTAGCCGACTTAGCCTTGGTCGTTACTAAGCCCGGAAGGGGTGTCCACTTTATTGTGGAATCGCCTAATGGTTGGGCCACTGTTACCTCCTCTGCAGGAATGGGCAACTACATACCTGCCTTCTCCGCGAATCGAACCCAGGCCTTTCAATATCGCAGTAGGCTTCCTTAACCACTAAACCGTCTCGACAATTCAACAAAACAATTAATTAGATCTATTTAAAAATTGTGATGTAGCCGTTCCTCAATAGACACTAATGCCGGCTAGCTTTAAAAGGATTTATTAACAGAGCACACAGGAACGGTTACAAACAAAATAAATATACATAAAAATGAAACATATACCAAATGGAACATCAAACATTGAGAATAACATAACATAGTAAGCTATCATCATGGCGGCTGGAGGTCGACTGACGTTTTTCATATCGCCACGAGATGGCGTTTAAATAAAATAGTTCGGTTACAGTTCATGAGTTCATGGCGTGAATAAAATAGTTCAATTACACTTAAATAGGTCTGTTACATCCTTCCCCTCTGACTTCGTAGACGTCTCGGCAAGAAGTCAGGAACTGACATTTGTCTACTTTGTGCAGCGGGCGGAGAATCAGATGGACGGGCTCCAGTTTGACGAGGAGTAGATTTTGCGTCACCAGCACCTTGTGCAACAGGTGCAGATTCGGATGGTATATTACACGTTTCGGGCGTCCTCTTTTCTTTAAGGGAACCACTGGAATTACACGAGCTGAGTTTTGCTTATTTCGATCTTGATATGGTTTCAAGGCTGAAACATGATACTTGCCGAGAATTTTGTCTAGTTGGTTCATGAGGATCGGCAATATCATAAGTGGTTAGAGATCTTGTAGTCACTATCACATAAGGACCATCTCTCTTGGGTATGAATTTAGCAGTTTTCTTTCAGTGGACCTTTTGCTGATTGGGTGGACGGTGACCCAAACTTTATTTCCAGGAACGAATTTCGGTGTTTCTCTTCGTTTTTTGTCAGCATATCGTTTCTGCTTATCTTGATGCATTTCGACTCTTTCTCGTACCTGTTGTACATTTCTTGCAAAACGTTTCAAATATGGAGTAATTTCGGGAACAAAATTATCGTTCTCAATTACGGCTTTTATATCATGCTTTACATCATCTAAGGTTCGTAACTCTCGTGCAAATTGAAGAAAAGAAGCAGAATGTCCAGTTGAATCACATTAGTTGAATTAAATTTGATGCCCATGTTGCAACCAAACATTTTCAACCGACATTCACGTTCACTTTTTCCAGAAAATAATAGCAAAAATCAGGGATATTAATTAAACCACAATTTTCGCCCACATTGTTTCCTAGTGGCAACAGTCTCGCAAGCTGGAGATGAAATTCTGCTTTATCTCGAAAGTTGTTGCCACTGCTCGCTTTCAAATCCTAAAATTCGTTAATAAAAAATTCTAAGTTTTACGATGAAATTAAAATAGCATTGCCAAACATTAAATACATTATTCCCGATTAAAAAACTTCGTGGGAAGCCATTTCGACTATTCCCATCTTCGTACGACTTTAATCAACCGAAACAGTGATTAAAAACTCTGAATGCGCTAATTTTTGCACTTATTTTTCAGAGTGGCAACAGTTCTGCGTGTTGGAAATTAAAATTCTTCATTTCGAAAAGTGTTACTACTGCTCACTTTGAAATCGTAGATTTTGTTAATCAAAAATTTGTAAATTTTACAAAATCTTATACACATAAAAGAAGACTGTCTGCTTGCGTGTTTGTTGTTTGTTCGTGTTATTGATTTCTGATCAATTATGATAAACTAGAAAGCCCGGCGGTCATACGTAATGACCGCTGTTCTAGACATTATAAATTGTAAATAAAATGATTTGTGCAAAGGTGTCTGCTAATTCAAACTGAATAACCCAGGGCAGGCGGCGAGGGCGCCCATTTGCTTACTGCTCCACGGGGTTTCCCCCTTCTACTTGCTTAATTGCTTACAGTAGAGTGCATTGAAGGAAACCACTGGCAGTGCATTTCTTAAGAGCCACCGCTAGCTCAATAAATAAAGGTGATTTTAAATAATAAAATGTTAATTCACATGTCAAAGATCTCTTTGTACACAACATTTCTTGTATAGATCTTTCCATCATTTTTAAGCTCGGCTTGCAGAGGACCATCCATTATTTTTAATTTTACGTCCATTTTTTTACGAACTCTTGAACAGGCAACATAAAGTTGTTTATGAGCGTTTGGCTCTGAGACTTATGGATGGTCATAGCAAAGGCAAGTTTTACAGGACATTGTATACATCTCAATTGAAACGGCAACCCTGTGCCCTGGCAACCTCACCCCATTGGCTAGTACAGTTACGCAAGCAACCAGTAAATTATCGGCGACAAACAGACACTTAAGCCGCACTTATATATATGGGATGAAGTAACATCATCTCCTCCAAACCTGCTATTTTCCGGGCTTAGCGAAGCACATCGTTGGATTTCGCAGGTCCGTGGCATGCCATTTTAACCATTTGCGTCTTCGTGGGACTTTAATTAGCCGAGATATTAATTAAAAACTAATTTCCCCCTACGTTATCCCTACATTTTTCACTTTCTTTCTTGGGTTTTCTCTAATAGAGGGATTTAGCTACGTGCCGAATTCTTTTTTTCTCGAATATCTATGGAACGGCGCCGAGTTGAAGTTCGAGACGCGTATCTTCCGATTCCAAAAAATTCTCCAAATCCATCGATACCGTTCTCATCTTCGTACGACTTTAATCGGCCGAGATATTAATTAAAAAATGCGGAAACGTTAATTTCTGCGCTCGTTTTTCCCAGTGGCAACAATAAACTATCGGCGACACACACTTTAGCCGCTTATATAATATATAAAGATTTTTTGCCACATTTAACCGACAAAAATTGAATATAGGTGAAATATTGGATGGAATTCGAGCTTTTTCGACCATTTGATTAGAAAGACAAAGATCATTAAAACTGCGTGCCATTGTTGCTGATATAATGAGAGAGAATTAGCTTATTTTTTATGCGGGTTCCATACCGCATCAGACTGAAAAGTGTATGACCATGAATTGTATTTTTTGCATCGTTATTAGAGAAGGATTACAGCGGTACCATTCTCTCTGATGTTAGATGCACTACTCTCAATCTAACTTAACTGGCATCTGTTATTTCCGCTAGTTCTAAATATGCTAAAGGTTTATCAAATTGTAAGGATAAATGAGAAACTCACGCATCTTTTATGTGCTTTTAATAACTGCCTGACATCTGCTTGAGATACCTAATGTCGTGCTAGATATGGTGTGGGTTGAAACAATACTATATCTAGTTATGTTTATATAGTATGTTAAAACACAATATACATTATAACACATATAACACATACCATGTATTAAAACGCCTGCATGAAAACCTAGAATAAATTATAAAATGATAATTTTGAATAAATATCTCTTTTCTGATTTCCATAGCTGCATATTAGAAACCCAAAATTACTTTTATCGAATGAGAACCTGGGTTTAGCCATTGTAAAATATTTTAAAAAGTCAATTAAGAATTTAATGAAGTCATTCCGATTTACCTCTTTAATAACACTTATATAGCATGAAAATTAAATTTATAATTTATTATGAAAGAAATATTACGAGCAGCAGATACAGTTTTAAGTACCTATATTATATTTATTCCGTTTTCCTCTTAGGAAGAAAGTTACACATTAAAATGCTGTTTAAAGAATATCGTATACTTTTGTTGCTTAGTTATTCCTGAGAAGCAGGCTAATTCTTTTCCCAGCGTTCCTCATGACAGATCAGCCATTTTCTTTATTCCCATAAAAATAAATAAATAAAAAAGAAATGCATAATGAAAAGAAAATTTGAGAAGATAAATGGGAATATATTAAAAAGAAAAAGAACTCTTTGGTGGTAGAAAGTATAATACTTCAAGAGTAAATTCCAGTTTGAAACATTTAATAAAAGCTCATTCTGATAACTGCATCATTCACTAGCTTCTTGTTTATAATTTATTTTTTATGCACCTTTCATTCATTCACCATTTATATTCCAAGATATCATTAGAACATTATTTCGAAGAAAATTTCTTTGTCCTTATACCCTTCCAAATCTCATTCTCCACAACTGTTTCTCATTAACTACAGCATGCATTGTTACTCATTACTAATTAACGTCTTCCCTGTGTTCATGATACCTTTCGCAATAAAAGAATATGAATTTTCATAACTTTTAGCAGTTATTATTGTTAAAGTTATTGAAGAATCAGCCTTCTAGAAAAAAGAAAAATGTGATTGACAAGGTTATGTTCAACATCTACCAGTCTTCCAATTTCAAAGAAAGTTCAGATAATTTATTTTAATTTTTATTTCCTTGTATGAAGTAAAGGAAGTATGGTTAACCATTTTTACTGTTCAGAATCCATATGTACGATTGTTTTGCATCTGTATGTATGGACAGAATAAAGGACTCTTTTCTCCAAAATGGATTGTAAAACGGTGTCAAAAGCTATTTTTAGGGATGTCTGTATGTACAATGCGGGAAAAAAAAAAAAAAAAAAAAAAGTACAGTTCTATATCTCCCGTTCTACTGGGCCGATTGACAAAATTGAAATTGCCTT